GACAGGGCTGCATGGGGCGGGGGAGAGGGGGCTAAGCCTCCCCAAGGCAGAGTCCCCCACCAGTGGCTAAGCCATGCCCAGAGATTGGTCCTGGGCCTGCCTCTGTCACGGGCCCCCTGGGTGACCGTGAGCAAGACACTAGGGCTACGTCTAGACTGGCCCCAAATTCCGGAAAAGGGATGCAAATCAGGTAAGTCAGAAACAGGGCTGCATGGGGCGGGGGAGAGGGGGCTAAGCCTCCCCAAGGCAGAGTCCCCCACCAGTGGCTAAGCCATGCCCAGAGATTGGTCCTGGGCCTGCCTCTGTCACGGGCCCCCTGGGTGACCGTGAGCAAGACACTAGGGCTACGTCTAGACTGGCCCCAAATTCCGGAAAAGGGATGCAAATCAGGTAAGTCAGAATAGGGAAATCCGCGGGGGATTTAAATATCCCCCGCGGATTTAAATAAACACGTCCGCCGCTTTTTTTCCGGCTTGGGGAAAAGCCGGAAAAAAGCGTCTAGACTGGCGCGATCCTCCGGAATAAAGCCCTTTTCCGGAGGATCTCTTATTCCTACTTCGAATGATAAGAGGTTTGGAACGGCTGGCGTTAAGTAGAGAGATTCAAAAGACGGGGACTTTTCATCTTAGAAAAGAGGAGACTAAGGGAGATATGACACAGGTCTATCACATCATGACCAGTGTGGAGAAAGTGAATAAGGAAAAGTTTGAAACAGACAAAAGGAAGTTTTTCTTCACACGGCGTACAGTTAACCTGTGGAACTCCTCGCCAGAGGATGTCATGAAGGCCAGGACTTTAACAGAGTTCAAAAAAGAGCTAGATACATTCAGGGAGGTTGGGTTCATCAATGGCTATTAGTCGGGATGGGTAGGAATCGTATCCCTAGCCTCTGTCGGGAAATGGATGGCAGGAAAGGGATCACATAATGATTCCCTGTTCTGTTCACTCCCTCTGGGGCACCTGGCATTGGCTGCTGTCGGCAGACAGGACACTGGGCTAGATGGACCTTTGGTCTGACCCCGTCTGGCCGTTCTGATGTTCTTATGTAGTGATTGGCGGCTGCTCTAGGCGGTGGGCTCTGGTGGTCGGAGCCAGTTGGTAGCTCACTCTTTGAGGTCCTGGGTTCAGTCCCCACATGAGTTGTTGCTTTGCTGCCGAGCCTCATGCCCCTCTGTCTCTTTAAGCCCAACCCCATCCTCCTGCACTCCAGACCCAGGCGGATCGTCTTCCAGGACGAGGTGCTGGCTTCAGGGGGCCGTCCGGGGCAGCTCGCCCAGCAGCCGAGGTTCTCGGCGGGGATCTTGGGTTGCTCCATCCCAGCGGGACACACCCCGAAGCCACACGTCATCCCCGACTATGTGGCGTAAGTTACAACCCGCCCCTGGCGGCGGAGACTGGCTCAGAGCTGCATGCGGGTGGGTTTAGTACAGTCGCTAGCAGGAGGGGGCTGAAAAGACGCCCACTGGGCATCAATATTCCCTCTAATATTTTCCACCTTTGTGTGGAATGAATTTTGTTCTGTGCACCACCGTGTGTGTGGATGTGCACCACCAAAAGACACGCAGGCTGCCTGCTGTGGGCGCTCTGCTAATCAGCTGGGCAGAACCTGATTCTCCCCTGGGTGCTTAGCTTACAGGGGACCCTGCTCTCCATCCCGATGGCTAAGGCACTGGCCAGGGACTCAGGATCTCTGATCCAAGGCCTGTCTCCGTCATGGGCTCTCTGGGTGACCTTGACATCCCTCTGGACCTGTTCCCCAGCAGGAGAATGAGCTTTCCTGTGTCTACATAGACCCGGAACTCTTTGGGGCCGGGTCCCTCCCTGTGTGTCTGACACCGGGAAGCCCTGAGCCTCTAGACACAACTGTAACTCCCAAAATCTCCGAGCACCCCCCAGCTCTGCAGCTATTTTCCTGCCTAATAAGCTCCTGATTCCCTCCCGCCCCTTGGTTAACCCTTTCCCACCATTCACGGAGCCATCCACCGTCGCTTAGCACAGAATTCCCCCCCCCCAACCTCTTGGGGTTGGGTAGGAAGTACCCAGGGATCTGCTGCCCGGAAGAGAGAGAGAAGTACAAGGCCGTCTTCAGCGACCAGTACGCGGAGTACCAGGAACTCTTCCGTGAGGTCCTGCTGGCGCTGCAGAAGTTCAAGGAGCTGGAGAGCATGATGAACGGGCTGCCGCAGGGCACACTCGGCAGGAAGGTCAGTCGCTGACGAGAGGGGGGCAGGCGCTGGCCGGCTGGAGTGGGGATCGAGGGGTGTGGCGGGCGGGCAGGGGGACTTCCAATCCAGCCTGGTTCGGGGTGGGGGGAAGTTTGCTGGAATGAGTGGCTGTGTCTCAGCTCATTTCCACATGGGACCGGAACAACCCACAGGAAGAACCTGGAAGGCCCCTTTCTAGCAGAGCTGGCACAGGCAGTTCCAGGTTTTTCCAAGGAGCAGAAGCTGGTACGCAATGTAGACGGGTACAGGAGTCAGGCTAGATGCATCAGAGACACCACTGCCCCACCCCACCCTGGGCTCAGAGCTACACTGGTGCCGGCGCAGGGGCCGGCGTGCGTGTGACTTTGCTAATGCCCTGCCCAATTCACAGTCCACGTTGGTCAATTTCACGGGCAAAATGGTGCATTTCGTCGATTTCCATCTGAAATGTCCGGGTGTTGTAGAAGGGCTGTGGGATTGCTACCCTTCATTCTGCACTGTTGTTGGTAACAACGTTGCTTTCAGGGCTGGGCAGCTGGTGAGCAGCGGCTGCTGGCCAGGACTCCAGCTCTGAAGGCAGAGTTACCGCCAGCAGCAGCGCAGATGGGGTGGGATGGGATTGGGTGGGAACGGAGGAGGTGGGAGGGGATTGTCACCCTTAATTCTGCGCTGCTGCTGGCAAAGCTGGGCCCTTAGCCAGCAGCCGCTGCTCTCTGGCCACAGCGCTGAAAGCAGCCGTACAGAAGGAAGGGCAACACGGTTTATGACATCGCCACCTTTATTTCTGCCCCGCTGCTGCCTTCAGAGCTGGGCATCCGGCCACCATTCCAAGCACTGTTACCCAGCACTGACGGCAGGCGAGCCTCCTAAAATAACCTTGTGATCCCCCCGCAGCTGCCTTTTGGGTCAGGCCCCCCAGTTTGAGGAACGTGGGTCTCCCGCGAGCAATCTGCACAGAGTAGGGGAAACGCACGCGAGAGGCCAGATTTCACCGGAGGACACCAGATTTCACGGTTATAAGAACATAAGAACGGCCGTACTGGGTCAGACCAAAGGTCCATCTAGCCCAGTAGCCTGTCTGTCCACAGTGGCCAGCACCAGGTGCCCCAGAGAGGGTGGACTGAAGACAATGATCAAGCGATTTGTCTCCTGCCATCTCTCCCCAGCCTCTGACAGACAGAGGCCAAGGACACCATTTTATCCCCTGGCTAATAGCCTTTTATGGACCTAACCTCCATGAAATTATCTAGCTTCTCTGTAAACTCTATTATAGTCCTAGCCTTCACAGCCTCCTCTGGCAAGGAGTTCCACAGGTTGACTACACGCTGTGTGAAGAAGAACTTTCTTTTATTAGTTTTAAACCTGCTCCCCATTAATTTCATTTGGTGTCCTCTAGTTCTTCTATTTAGGGAACTAATAAATAACTTTTCTTTATCGGCCCTCTCCACACCACTCATGATTTTATAGACCTCTATCCTATCCCCCCTCAGTCGCCTCTTTTCTAAACTGAAAAGTCCCAGTCGCTTTAACCTCTCCTCCTATGGGACCTGTTCCAAACCCCTCATCATTTTAGTTGCCCTTTTCTGAACCCTTTCCAAGGCCAAAATATCTTTTCTGAGGTGAGGAGACCACATCTGTACACAGTATTCCAGATGTGGGCGTACCATAGTTTTATACAGAGACAGTAAGATATTCTGGGTCTTATTTTCTATCCCTTTCCTAATAATCCCTAGCATCCTATTTGCCTTTTTGACCACCGCTGCACACTGTGCGGTCTGCTGTGCATTTTGCACGGCGGTGAATTTGGCACGGCCCTGCTAATGAGAGTCTGGCATTTCGGGGGCCTGCTCCGACCATGAATTTTGTTCCCATGCTTCCTTGGAGCATCCATCAACCAAAGCTTGATTTCGGGGTGTCCCCCTCCCCCCTCACATGCACACGCATCCCTGGGGAAGGGGTGGAATCTCCATCTGTGGAGGTTTCGACGTCCTGGCTTGACCAAGCCCTGGCTGGCATGATTGAGTTGGGGTGGGTCCTGCTTTGGGCAGGGGGCTGGACTCGGTGACCCCTTAGGTCTCTGCCCGCCCTGGTGTTCTGTGATTCTATTATTCCTGGGATACACAGTCCCTGCTTTTCCAGGATCTGAGAGCCCAGCTGGCATCAGCTGGCAGATCAAAGGAGCAGCCGCGTTTCTCAGCCAGGCCCTGGTCAAAGTTCTCCTGCCAGACCCCCTGCATATCCTCCGTCTGCTCCCAGAGCGCTGGTGGGGTCCCGCCGCCGGCTCGCTGCCTGGCAGCTTATGACAGGAGCTGGCCACCGCATTCCCGGGGCCCCGTCTCCGGCCAGCAAGCGTGGGTTTGCTGGGACCGACCGTTCCAAATGTTTCCAGTTCTGCTGGGCAAAGGAATTTCCGCTTCTCCCTTACCCGCTGCTTTGTGCTCCACAGGAACGGAGCTGGGTCGCCAGCCTCCGGAAGGAATACAAGAAGAAAAGGAGGGTGAGTTTGGGTGTGGGGCCGGATTCACGCCTAGGGCCAGCGGATCATGGGTGGACCAGCAGGGGCACACTGTACGGCCTGGATTAAAACTCGCATGGGGGTGTCTGCACAAGGGACAGTCCCCCTCCCTCCCCCAAGGGCTGCATGGACGTGTCCAGCGGCTCCCCAGCCCGCAGCCGGAATACAAGAAGAAAAGGAGGGTGAGTTTGGGTGTGGGGCCGGATTCACGCCTAGGGCCAGCGGATCATGGGTGGACCAGCAGGGGCACACTGTACGGCCTGGATTAAAACTCGCATGGGGGTGTCTGCACAAGGGACAGTCCCCCTCCCTCCCCCAAGGGCTGCATGGACGTGTCCAGCGGCTCCCCAGCCCGCAGCCCCTTTTGAACAGTGCTCAGGGCATCTGTGGCTAAAGAACTTTCCGAAACAAACCTGGCCCCTGGCCACCCAGGGTGGAGGGGTCTCAGGTGCTCCTCCGCATGCGGCTAC